TTGTGTGCGGTGATAAATTTTATCAACTAATTTATATACTTCTATTCAAAACGAATTTCTTCATATGTCTTTTACATTCATCATATGATAGCAATTTTGTGGATCGAGATAGAGCATTGTAAAAAATAATTGCGTTGTAGGTGAAGCATTTACGAAAGAATGATGTCCTGTGGAGGGGCATTGTGAGTGTTTCAGTGAATCGGATGTCCCTAGAATGGATACTGCTTCTAGATATCAGCTTATTTCTCAAAAACGGCGGAATGGATGACAGTAAAAGCCTGTGGGTGTAAGTAACTAGGTGTAGCTCACGCAGTTCATTTACTCTCAACCACTTCATGTCATTGAAAAAAGGACTGATATGATCATATTTTTTCAAATTATTGATCAACCTACAACATGAGTTTTGGATTTTTTGGAGACGGGTTACAGATATTGAGTCAAGGAATGGAAGATAAACTAAATCGCAATAACTAATTTTGGACATTACCAAAGATTCACACACAATTTTTTTAGTTGTAAAGTCAAGAAATTGTTTATTAAGATATAATTGACGTAAAATTGAAAAACAACTCTTACTGATATCATTTACATGTGGTATAAAATTAAGACATTCATCTAAAGTTACGCCCAAGTTTTTTACTGACTCACTTACTTCTATAGTCTCACCATTTAATTTTACTTTCTGCATCACGTCTAAATAGTTTTGGTGAAAAAATGATGACTTTCGATTTTAAAGGGTTCAACTGAAGGTTATGATTTTTTGCATGCATACTAATAGATGTTATATCTTCAGTTACCTCAGATTCAGCAATTCGAATGTCGTGATTATGGAAATGACTGTAGATCTGTGAATCGTCGGCAAAGAATTGGATATTACTATATTTAACAACTGAATGGAGATCCGAAATATACAAAATGAATAGGTGTGGCCCACGTACAGATCCTTGAGGCACTCCGGAGGAAATGAGGCACTTTGTGTCAATGTGTACCCTTTGATATCGATTTCCTAAGAAGCTCTGAATCATTTTTGAGTCAGAGTCAGAAAAACCAAATCATTTACACTTGCCTACTAGAAGACGATGGTTTATGGTATCGAATGCCTTGGAGAAGTCAAGAAGAACTAATGATGTGATCCCAGGCTCTAAAAATGTTATCGGTTAAGTCTAATAGTGCACTTGCAGTGTTATATCCTTTTCGATAACCGCATTGTTTGGGAGGCAAAATTTTATGTTCAGAGAGATAATCGTAAATTGGGCGTACATTGCTTTTTCTAATAACACTGATCAACAGCCAAAAAATATCCTAAATAAAATCGACAAAATATTACTATTTTTAGTGTGCTAAAACCGGAATGAAACTTATTTTTTCAATATTAGTTCAAGTTTTAGAGATACGGTAATTATATGTGTTCCTGCTGTGACAGTGTTAATATACTGTAATTCACAAGAATGCACGTGCTACATTTTTATGTTCGGCAAGGAAAGATGATGTAATCGGCATGATTGTGTTACGTTATACATACGTGTACATTATATTGTTTGTGTGTGTGTAAACAATCCAGATCAGTTTTGTTACGTGTGTGGTGATGTGACTTTTGCGTCTCAGAGACGGTCTATTACTCCACTAATAACAAAGGCATATCAGCTTTATTTCGGTTGTAAACTAGGTGATCAAGACAAACAGTGGGCACCCCACATCTGCTATAATACATGTGCTTCAAGTCTGGTTAAATGGCAAAAAACGGTCTATGCGCATTGTTGTCCCAATGGTTTGGAGAGAGCCTACAAATCATATTAATGATTGTTACTTTTGCATGGTACCTTGTGTTGGACAAGCCACAGGTATGTCCAAGAAAAAAAAATCGGTTATTAACTACCCAAACATACCATCTGCGATGAGACCTGTGCCTCACAGTGACGAAAATCCTATTCCAAAACCCCCAGAATCCTACACTTGCGAATCAGAAAACGAATCAGATCATGGCGATCGAGTGATTCGTCAGGAAGAAGATATGCCATCAACGTCAAGAGATCCTGATTTTATACCGAGCATGTCATGCCACCAACCGCACAAAATAACACAGTCAGAATTAAATGATCTTGTAAGAAATTTAGAACTTACAAAATGTAAGGCAGAGTTACTTGGATCAAGACTTCAGCAGTGGAACTTGTTAGAAGACGATGTTTCGGTATGTGTTTTGCGTAAACGCCACAAATACTTAGAACCATTTTTCAATATGGAGAATAACTTGGTTTTCTGCAGTAACATTAACGGCTTACTGGCGGCTTTAAATATAAACTATAACCCAGAAGAATGGAGATTGTTTATAGACAGTTCAACATTGAGTTTAAAGGCAGTGTTATTGCATATTGGAAATATTTTACCATCTCTTCCTGTAGGGTATGCAGTTCACATGAAAGAATCATATGACAATATGAAGTACCTATTGACATGAATAAAATACGATGAGCACCAATGGAATATTTGTGGCGATATGAAAGTTTTTGCACTTTTACTTGGGCTGCAGCTAGGCTACACAAAGTTTTGCTGTTTTTTGTGTGAATGGGACAGTCGGGCAAAGGCACTTCATTACACCAGACAAAACTGGCCTGTTCGTCAATTCCTAGAGCCAGGTAAAAAAATGTACAGCATATGCCATTAGTAGATTCGAAAAAAATTTTATTACCACCACTGCATATCAAGTTGGGCCTAATGAGAAACTTTGTCAAGGCATTAGATAGAGATGGGTCAGCTTTTCAATACCTGCGTCAGAAATTTCCAAGACTAAGTGAGGCAAAGGTTAAAGAAGGTATTTTTGTTGGGCCACAAATTCGAAATATTTTGAAAGATACACAGTTTGAAAACACTTTAACAGGTATTGAAAAAACTGCTTGGAATGATTTCCGTCTGGTGGTCACTAATTTCTTGGGAAATAGAAAAGCTGACAACTATAAAACCCTTGTCTAAAATATGCTGTCATCGTATCAAAAGATGGGCTGTAATACGTCTCTTAAGATACATTTCCTACACTCACACCTGGACTTTTTTCCTGACAATTGCGGAGCCGTAAGTGATGAGCACGGCGAACGTTTTCATCAGGATATTTCAACAATGGAAAAAAGGTACCAGGAAAGTGGAATCCTTCCATGCTTGCAGACTACTGTTGGACTCTTGGTAGAGATGCTCCAGAAACGATCTATAAAAGAACAGCAAAAAGACAGCGCATATAGTGATTCTTATAAGTATATGAATCTTGTTACTTTTTTTAATATATGCTTACAAATAAAAATTTTTTTCTAAACCGCAACTAGTTTTTTTATTTCATTGTCATTTTTGGATTCAGCGCCCCAAAATTAACAAAGAAGTGCACTTTTCCCACAAGATACAATTAAAAAACTAAAATTTGTTGTCCAGTGTAAATTGGACAAAATAGGTAAAATACTAATTGGTCTTCAGAATATAATTTTGACTTACTTATTTTAGCTAGAGGTAACACTAATGCTTCTTTCCATGATTCTGGAAAGAATCCCCTTTCTAAACAGGTATTTATCATGTGTAAAATGTGACCTGAAATCGCAAAGAAGCATAGTTTTAGCATTTTGAGTGACACGCCATCGCTTCCTAAGGCATTCGATTTCAGAGACTGGAACATCGATTTCCTGGACTTTTCTTATCTTTCAAGGGCATAATAGTGTTAAGAACTTTGGTCAGAACAAATGAGTTTACCAATCTTTTTTCAGGTGCCAAGAATTTATTATAATCGCTTTCTAAATTATTTGCTATTTTTTTTGCGATATATGTAAAAAAAATGTCACAAATTCATCGCATATTCATTGATTTTCATTTGATATTTCACCCGTTTCCGTTTTCAATTGAGTAATTTAATTTTCAGGCCGTTACTTTCCATAATCCATAGTCTTTTTGAATCGTTTCAATTACTATCAAGTTTCTGAAAATAGTATATTTGTTTTGTTTCTGTAAATCTATTTTTGTATTGATTATAATTTTATATGTTTTGTTTCGTTAGTAATTCATTTGTGGATTTTATTAACCCTTTAGTTATCAATTTTGCTTCTATCCTTCTCGTTATGATTTAGTTTTACTTTGTTTGTACTATTTTCTATAAGTATGTCTGTGGTTTCATCTATGGCATTTGATAAACAAATTTCATTCCACGATTCCTTTTCAGCATCGGTCAGTAATTTTGTGCTATGAATCAAATACTTGACTTTCGTGATATTTTCATTTTTGATGCTTGTTCTTTGAACATACTAGCAACATAATACAGTCTGTCCGGAAAGTAATAGGACTCATTTTCTTCAGCCATGACTGTACTTCGGAGCGTGCGCGAACCCACTGGATTCGGTAGAGGGCGTTCCTAGCTAACGAATGAACTGCTGGTCAGTTGTCTCCAAGCATTTGGACATTGTGACACAGCATTTGAACATGCGCAAGATGTGCGCGAAGATGATCGCAAAAGTGCTCACTGACGACCAGAAATTTCGGCGAGTGGAAGTGTGCCAAGAAAATTTGAACATGTGTGAAAGTGACCCCCAATTTTTGAATAACGTAATCACAGGTGACGAGTCGTGGATCTTTGAGTATGATCCCGAGACAAAGAGGCAATCTTCCGAGTGGCACACGACGGCGTCTCCTCGCCCAAAAAAGGGAAGAATGAGCGAATCCAAAGTGAAAACGATGCTCATTGTCTTTTTGACATCAAAGGCATCGTCCACCAGGAATTTGTTCTTCCTGGACAAACCGTCAACGCCAAGTTTTACGTGGAAGAGCTCAGGAGACTCAAACGAAGGGTCAGTCGCCGCCTTTCTTGTGAACAGCTACCTGACCAAGGCCGGCATCCCAACGCTTCCGCAGCCGCCCTACAGCCCAGATGTGGGCCCCCGGACTTTTTTTGTTTCCTCGCCTGAAAAGGCCGGTGAAAGGCAAGCATTTTGAGACGACAGAGGGGATCCATGCAGCATGCACCGCGGCTCTCAAGGCTATTCCGGAGAATGCCTTCCGTGACGCTTGGAAATCGCGCTGGCCGCACTGCACCGACGCAGAAGGAGTCTATTTTGGAAGTTTTTAAAGAATTGTAACGATTGGCTCAATAAATTTTTTTAAATCGACTCAGTCCTATTACTTTCTGGACAAACCTTGTAAAATAGTAATATCACTCTCATAAACTAAAATAATATTTTTTCTCTGAATTGAGGCGTTACGGTCCTGCGTCTGAAAAAAGACGGAAAGCACTCCCGAAGTCCGACTGGCCTGTAAAAAACGAACGATTGCCATTTTACGAGAGGAAGCACATACACCGGGGATCGAACCCCATGCATCTGAATATTTCAGATCCATATAGACGCGAGGCACATAGAGGGGGAGTATTGCTGGTCGGAAAATCAATCGAAGAATCCAGGACATTAAATAATCAGAAATTACGTAAAACGTCTGCTTGGACGCAAAGCTAAGTTGGGGCTGGAAGTTGAGTCAGTGGGCTTTATTCACTAAAATTATAACTTTCTGCCAAGGACGGTGACTACAACTACTGTCACCCTAACGAAAGATAGACCCAGATGGCTCACATGATTTTTTGCTATGTACCCCATGTACATCTATACTACGTGACATATAAATCCGAACACCCAGTTTAAATGGTTTTATTTTAATAAAATTTTGTATAAGTACTTAATGAAAATGATTGCACTGCTTTAAAGCCCTTTGACCTTTAATAATGTGTGGATGCACCCTGATGAGCTACGCATCCTCCAACGCGCCTAGGCATGCTTCTGATCAGGTGGTCAATGTCCTCCTGTGGTATCTCATTCCAGGCAACCACCAACTCCTCTCGAAGTGCTTCTAGAGTCTGAGGAGGACGTTGCAAACTGAGCAATCTCCTACCCATCATATCCCACACGTGCTCAATTGGGGATAAGTCGGGAGATCTTGGTGGCCATGGTAACAATGTGACATCATTATGTTGAAAGAAGTCTATTGTGACTCTTGCAACATGTGGTCGGGCATTATCTTGTTGGAAAGTTGGATCTGCCGGGGTTTCAAGATAGGGTAAAAGATGGGGTTCTAGAACTTCGTGAATATAACGCTGCGCGTTCATGTTACCTCTGATGAAGATCAAAGGTGACCTGGAACCATAAGCTATAGCACCCCAAACCATAACTCCAACAGTGTGATGAACATGTCTTTCAACAAAAAACTGTGGATTCCTCCTTTCACCACGTCTCCTTCTAACCCTGGCACGACCATCGTGCATGCCTAAACAAAATCGAGACTCGTCTCTAAAGACAATTCTGTTCCATTCCTGATCCCAGAGTGACCGTTGTCTGCACCACTCAAGGCGATTACGTCGGTGTTCTCGAGTTAAAGGGAGGACCCAGTGTGGCCGGTATGAAAACAAGCCAAAACTTCTCATTCGTCGGTAAACACTTCGCATGCCAATAAGTGTTCTGCAAACCATTCATTTGCAATGGACCTGGTAGTGGAGAAACGGTTCCTTAAGGCCAATAATCTTAGGCGGCGATCTTCACGGTCTGTTGTTCTACGGCGGCGTCCAGTGCCCCTTGCTCTTTGCGTACGGCCTTCTCGAAGCCATGCCTGACAACACCTAACCACAGTGTCTACACTTCTTTGCACTCTAACTGCAATTGCCCGAAAAGAAAGTCCAGCTTCTCGAAGTCCCACTATACGGCCCCTATCAAACTCACTAAGTTGACGAAATCGTACAGGTCTCCGTACTCTAGGCATCGTAACCGATCGTAAAGGATGTCAAGAACCAAAATCCGCCAACGTTGATTCTTTACTGCGGCTGAAATATTCATTTTTAGAGCGTTAGTGAATTAAAAAAAAAACAGTATAAAAACCGGAATGTCCAACTGATAAGGCTGAAAATTTTTTCACTTGTTATTTACAGTCCAACTTTTATTAAAATAAAACCATTCAAACTGGGTGTTCGGATTTATATGTCACTTAGTATATTTTTACCGTCAAAAGTAAAAAGCAGAAGCTTCTTCAGCAGTAAGGATTGAATAAAACTTCTGCCGTCTGTCGGATCAATAGGAATCAGAATTTCCATTGTCCAACGGTAGCGTGATGCATTTGACGTCAGCGCCATTTTTCCCGGGGCCAGCGAACAAAAATAAACGTGGCGATGTTTTCTTTGTCGTCTAGTGGCAAGTGGGAATGTTCCAGACTTCTGGATTCTCCCTCCGAGCGAGATCGCTCTTCCATATCCAGGTCGAAAACAATATCGGGAGAGAGAAATTTCGTATAGCTCCATCGATTTATTACGCTCAAAAAACGGAATTGCTAACGTCATTGTAACGTGTGTTGGCTTCAATTTAACAACCATAAAATAATATCTGACCGGCTCTTCAAAACACACCTTCTAAGAGAACGATGTCGTTGGAATTGAGGAGGAATGGGCTTAAATATCGAAAGAGACTTAAGTGGTCCAAATAACGGGTGATTTTTTAAGAGGTATAGGATTTGATTTTCAAAAAAAAACACAAAGAATTTGAAAAAACGATTAAATCTTTATTTGAGTCGATAGAACGGTCGATATAATTTAATGAATAGCTCCCTCAGTAGGCCGACCAAATTGCCCATAAATTGGAAGCAGTGCTCGATGCACTCTCTTAACCGAGCATGAACTTTGACAGTAAAATTCAATAATTTGCAAGCGTTGTTCGTTCGTAAGTCGATTCATGGTTAAATTATAGACCAAATTGAACAAGTTTGACAATGAGAAAAGACACGATTCACGCGTCATCTCTCAAAAACAGTGTTGCCAAAAAGATACTAGCAAAAAGATCACACATTACTTTCAGGTGCAACTCCTTCATATACCAAGATGCTGTCGTCAACACTTTGCCAATTGAAAAAATCATTATTTTAGATGACGAAAAGCATTGCACTTTGAGTAATTTTGAAATGAAGGGAAACGACGGATTTTATACGGACATCGTAGAGGAATGTTAGATGCAAACCTAACAATAATAATAATAATAATAATAATAATAATAATAATAATAGCTTTACTGTCCAACAGTTTCCCATTTATAGGACAATTTATAAACATAATACAAAAGCAAAAAAAAAGCGAAAAGAAAACAACAAATGCAACACAGGTATAAATTTGTAACATGAGCTATTGGTCCGTATAAGCCTGAGCTGCCTTTAGCAGGTAATTAACATTTGTCGTAAATATATCACAGTAACATCCAATTCTGTTTAAGTTAGAGCACATTACATATAACGGTGACTTGAGAAGAATGTTTGTCCTAGCTTCAGGAAGCCCGAATATTTTATGATTGAGAGATGCAAACGTTGGAGTACGAAACTTGATCTGTTCCAGTAGCGTTTTTTCAAAGTCAACATGTCTAAGCGACTACATAGTTCCTCATTACTTGTACCTCTTTCTGGATATGTCTCATCAATCCTAAACAGAACAAACTTCATAAACTTCCGTTGTACTCTTTCAATAGCTGTGCTATAGCATTCATAGTAAGGGCTCCAAATAATACTACAATATTCGACTTTGGATCTAACATAAGCATAATATAATAGCTTAAAAGACTAAAATTCGTGCAATTCCTTACTATGAAACCCTAAGCCGCCAATGCTTCTGACGCTTTTTTATTTATATGCTGACTAAAAGTTAACTTTTGATCATAGATACCTAAATCACGTACATCAGAGCATCATTCTAGCACAGACTCATCAATAGAGTACGGATATTCGCAAACATTTATTTTCCTGTTATAGCTGACTATTTTACACTTCCTCACATCAAGCTCCAACTTGTTTTCTACACACCAAGACAGCACAAAATTTAATTGGTGTTGTATCTTGATACAATCATCAGGAGTGTTTATCTGCGAATAAATTTTTAGGTCGTCAGCAAAGCATAGGCGTTCACATTCAACTGAGTCACAGAGGTCATTAATAAATATCAAAAACAGTAATGGTCCCAGGTTGGAGCCCTGAGGAACTCCAGAAGGTGCCGAGTAGGTCTCAGATTGGAAGCCATTATAGCTAACAAATTGTCTTCGATCAGATAAGTAAGATCAACTCCCTAGCATCATCTGTGAAACCAAGTGCACCTAACTTATTTAACAAAGTTTTGTGGTTAATTTTATCGAAAGCCTTCGAAAAGTCGGTATAAATAACGTCAACTTGCTCGTTACTATCAATGGCTTCCGAGAGGTGCTGCGTTATTATAAATAGATTTGTGGTTGTTGAGCGATTAGCGACAAATCCGTGTTGATGCAATGACAGCTGACGCTGAACGGCAGTGTAAATGCGACTGTACAAGACTATTTCAAAGACTTTCGAGAACATGCGTAATATAGAGATTGCCCTGTAATTCTCAATATTTGACTCATCCCCACACTTAAACACTGGACGCACCTTAGCGATCTTCCAAATATCTGGAAATCTTTTTGTTATAATACAAATATTAAAAATCCTAGTTAGAACACCAACAAACACTTCCACACAATCTTTGACTGAATTTGTAGATAAAATCCTTGTCTGGTGCGAAATTTTTAACAGGCGTGTATCCCAACATTTTGTGGGATAAACTTACGTCTGGTAAAGCAGAATGGACAACTCGCATAATTCGATAATATTGAGTTGTAATTTATGATAACTAGTCAGTGTTTAGATAAATTTCTTGACGATAAATATTTTGTGCCAAAGCTTTTAGGATATACGTTACGAGATCAAGGGTGTGCTACTAGGCACTTGGGAATTTCGTTTTTGAATAAAACAATTTTTGAAAGATTTCATGTTTGTTTATACTCAATGGGATACCGTATTTCCAAGTGCGTGTTCCTGAGCCAAATTCAAGCAGAAAAGCTGGTTCATGATTTTTGATTTCAGGTACAGTGTGCCTGAAAAATGTAGGAACCCTCGTATAAGCTGAAGCTACTTTGCTGTTAAAATTACAATTTTCATCCCGAAATGCCCCCTTTGTGCACAACACAGACATCAGATAT